GGCCGGCACGGGGAGCGCGCATGGGGGGCACAGCAAGCGGAGCAGCGGTGGCAGCAGGCACGACGGCATGGGCGGGAAGCGGCCAGGCAATGCCGCGCGCAGCCGAATGCTGCCCCAGGGCGCGGTTGCGGGAGCTCGGGCGGCTGCACGGACATGGCTGATACGTCTCCAACGTATCTATAATTTTTTATTGTTCCATGTTGTTATATTATCATTCTTGGATGTTTCACAATCATTTTATAGCAACTTTATATCATTTTTTAGGACTAACCTATTGACGTAGTGCCTAGTGCAAATTGCTATTTTTTGCTTGTTTTTTACTTCGCAAAAGATCAATACCAAACGGAGTCCAAACATAGCGAAACTTTTTGGAGAATTTTTCTGGGCTAGAAGACACACGATGGGCCAAAGAAGTACCAGAGGGGTGCCCCGAGGGGGGCACAACCCACCAAGGCGCGCCTAGGGGCCTAGGCGCGCCCAGGTGGGTTATGCCCACCTCGGTAGCCTCCCGCACCGCCTCTTTGCTCTATAAATACCCCAATATTCTAGAAACCTTAGAGGAGGCGAAGAAAATCAATTCCAGCCGCTGCAAGTTTCAGAAACCACAGATCCAATCTAGACACCATCACAGAGGGTTCATTATCCTTATTGGTGCCTCTTCTATGATGCGTGAGCAGTTCATTATAGACCTACGGGTCCGTAGTTAGTAGCTAGCTGGCTTCCTCTCTCTATTATGATTCTCAATACAATGGTCTTTTGGAGATCTATTTGATGTAACTCTTTTTGCGGTGTGTTTGTTGGGATCCGATGAACTTTTAGTTTATGATCATATCTATGTTTTTATCCATGAAAGTTATTTGAGTCTTTTGATCTCTTGTATGCATAATTACTTATAGCCACGTAATTCTTCTTCGAATCTTTGGTTTAGTTAGGCCAACTAGATTGATTTTTCTCGCCATGGGAAGAAGTGCTTTGTGATGGGTTCGATCTTACTGTGCTTGATCCTAGTGACAGAAGGGGAACCGACACGTATGTATCGTTGCTATTAAGGATAACAAGATGGGGTCTATTTCTACATAAATACATCTTGTCTACATCATGCCATCATTCTTATTGCATTACTCTGTTTCTCCATGAACTTAATACACTAGATGCATGCTGGATAACGGTCGATGCGTGGAGTAATAGTAATAGATGCAGACAAGACTTGGTCTACTAATCTTGGACGTGATGCCTATATAATGATCATTGCCTGGATATCGTCATGATTATTTGAAGTTCTATCAATTGCGCAATAGTAATTTGTTTACCCACCGTATGCTATTTTTCTCGAGAGAAGCCACTAGTGAAATCTACGGCCCGCGGGTCTCTTCTTTATTATATTTGCCTTCGAGATCTATTTTTATTTGCTTTTATTTTCAGATCTATTAATCCAAAAACACAAAAATACCTTGCTACAATTTATTGTTATTTATTTTACCTCGCGTTCCCGCGAGATCTATTTATCCAATCTACTATAATTTTACCTATCTTTTTACCCGTGAGGGATTGACAACCCCTTTCTTACATCAGGTTGCAAGTATTTGTTCTTTGTGTGCAGGAGCCGTTCACGTGGTGTTGCGTGGTTCTCCTACTGGTTTAATAACCTTGGTCTCATCACTGAGGGAAATACCTACCATAGTTGTGCTGCAACATCCCTTCCACTTTGGGGAAATACCAACGTAGTTCAAGCCACATCAGCGGCGAGCGCGGCAACAGGCACCGGCGATGGGCGCGGGAGGAGCCGCGCAAGTGAGGGATTAGAAGGGGAACAGTGGGGAACAGACGAGGCTCACCGGGAGGAGGTCGACCACGAGCTCGAGATGGTCGGGGACTTGCTGGAGCAATGCAACAACGGTGAGGCAGAGGTAACAGACATGTGTGGGGCAATGGGTAGTGGCGCGAGGAGGGGAAGAAGCTAGGGTTCATGGGGAGGCCGCGGTGATGCATCAAATAGGCGGCCAGGGGGCGCCGATGGCCGCCACGCACACCATGGCCGTGGATGTGTGCCACGGTTCCCCTACCTCCTGTAGCAGGAGGATGGGGACGAGGGAGGTGGGCTGGGCCTCTCTCTCTCTTTCTATCTATCTATCTATCTATCTATCTATCTATCTCTTTCTTTTCTTTCATCCATTTCTTTATTATTTTCTGTTTTTTTAAATAGGTACTATTTTGTGTTAAGTTAATCCACCAAATGGATTTTGTAAAATATGAAACTTGGCTCATAATTTGTATTGTAATTTTGGACACTGCCATAAAAAGTTTGGGGTTATTTTGAAAACTTTAAAATCATGTTTGAATTTAAATGGTTCATTAAGATGTTGTTGGACCACTTCATAAATTACCAGGGATTAACTGGTGAGTCCAATAATGTTGGTTTATTCATGATAATTAGTTAGTGAATATTTGCAACATGACCACATTTTTATTTGACAGTTTGAAGAAATGAAAATTTATCTTGTAATTTAAATTTGAATTTGGCTTTGGTTTTATCAAGTAGCACTTAAGCTTGCAAAACATGGTGACAAGGCATCATTAGCATGAGGTTACTGTAGCTTGACACCAGGGTTGTTACATCAAGAAATTCACCTAGTGGAACAGTTTCATCAAGCAGAGTACTAGCATCATCATAAGTTTCATTTATAGCAAAAGTAGTATCATCGGTTACTTGTGGCATATCAGAATGAATAGCAGGCGGTGGTGTCGCAAACCTACTTAAAATAAAAGGTGAATCAAGTGCAGAGGTAGATTGCAGTTCCTTACCTCCTCTCATCTTAAAGGGCACGGTCTTGGTTCATGTATCTTTTTCTTCATAGTGTAAAATCCCAAGTGAACTCAATAAATAGAGCTATGCTCCCCGGCAACGGGCCAGAAAAAGGTCTTGATAATCCACAAGTATAGAGGATCGCGACAGTCTTCGAAGGTAGTATTTCACCCAAATTTATTGATTTGTCACAAGGGGAGCCAAATAATATTTATGAGCCTTAGCAGTTGAGTTGTCAATTCAACCATACTTGGAAAATTATATTTCTGCAGCAAAGTGTTTAGTAGCACAGTAGCATGATAGTTTTGATAGTAGTAGCAACATTAGCAATGGTAGCAGGAACAATAATAATAGCAGTTTGTGATGATTGTAACAGCAGCAACAACGAAAGTAACTTACTAACTCAGGAAAGACCAATATGAGAAAAGAGTAGGCATTGGACCAGCGATGGATATTTGTGTTGCATGAGATTCATCATATAACAGTCACAATCTAGAGCGATACACAATGGCTCCAATTCTTCGGTCGTATGTAGGCATGTATTTCGTATATAATCATACGTGATTATGATAAGAACGTGTATAACAACTTTTTTCCTACTCTCCTGTGACAGCGAGGCCCTAATGGAAATCTAAGGATAGTTAAGCCACTCCTTTTAATAGAGAACCGGAATAAAGTATTAGCACATAGTAAATACATGAACTCCTCAAATTTCAGTCATCCCCAGAGACTACCCTAATTATTGTCACCTTAGGTCTACGGACCAGAACAATAATAGGTGATATAACTTGCAGATAGGATCAAAAACCCAAATATATTCATGAAAACATAAAGGGTTCACACCTAAAATCTTGGCACTCGGACCCTAATGACAACCATTAAGCATAGCAAAGTCATAGCAACTTCAGTCTGAGAATATAGTGGATACTAGGTGACGGCGACTCGGTATCATAAAACGGGATGATTCCTTTTCTCTGATTTTTTTCTCCGCGAGACGGTACCTATGGAGTTGGACTTAGGGCAAACAGAGTCTACAAGGAGCCCACAAGCTCACTAGGCGGCAATTTTTTGTGTTTTGACCATTTTCTGAAACCTATTCGAGATCTGACCCTAATTCGAAAAAAATTCGAGATCTGACCCTGGTGGTAGGGTGTAACAGCCTACCGCCAGGGACCTTGACAGTAGGAAACATCCCTACCGCCAAACATACTGGCGGTAGTCTGTACAACCCTACCGTCATGGACTTTGACGGTAGCAAAAGGGTCAGATTTTGAAATTTTATTAGACTAGGGTCAGATCTTGAATAGATATCAGAAAAGGGTCAAAACACGGAATTTAGCCTCACTAGGCGCTCTTACGAGTAGGACCCATCCACGTTCGAACGGGAGACCTCTTGTATGCAGTTAAATGCTCTACCACTAAGCTATGGACCCAAGTGATAAACTAATGCAAAATTGATTTATATGATAATTACAAGTAACACTCGAGAAACTGAGTAGAGAGACCAATTCAGATGTGACCCAAGAAACCCATAGCCGGCGGTACGTCACAGTCACACCTCTCGCCTGGCGGTTCCATTCGGCAGCTCGAGGACACGAGAAAATCCACTTGCCGCAGAGCTGCTGACCTGCGCGCTGAAACACGCCATCATTCCATGGAGCAAACTCCAAAACTTCCCCGGTAACCCGCACCTCACTCAACGACCCTCCCAACGGCACTCGGCAGTCGCCACCGTCGCGGCGCTCCTCAGCCGAGCCAAACCTTTCGAAATCTCCACGCCTTTGTCGCCTCCCTTTTATACCAAACCTCCGGCTCCCAGAGTCCCAGTTCCCACCGTAGCAATCACTCACAACTGTTGCCTAGCAGCAGGCAAGAAGAGGCAAGGATGCCACAGCTCGATCTGGAGTCCCTCTTCTGCGTCGGCGGCGGCGAGTCCAGGTCGACGAAGGTCGCCTGCGAGACCATCGCGGTCGCAGCCTCCGACGTCGACGTCGCCAGCGCCCACGAGCAGTCGCGCCGGATTATCTGGGCCTGGTCCGGGCCAACCGGCGCGGCGCTGGAGCGGGACGGGTCGACCAAGGGCAGCTCCAACCCCAAGACCGCGGCAGAAGAGACGACGCGTAACAAGGGCGCGTCGAGGGCGCCGAGGAGGTTGGAGTTGGAGGCAATCGTGGTGGGCGTTCTGCCTGCCGGGAAGATGGTCGTGCAGCAGAGGCGCCCTCCTGTGGTCGGCCGCGGCTGGCGCCGGCCGGCCGCAGGGGCCAGGGTGTTCGCGAGCGAGGCCGTGGGCACGGAGCCCGTGTCCCCGAAGGTGTCGTGCTTTGGGGCTGTGCGGTCCGAGAGCCGCGCGGCGGCGCCTGCACCTGCGCCTTCGCCGCGCGGGGAGGAGGAGCAGGTCGAGGAGCGGAGCGGGTGCTGGGCGAGCGTCGCCTCCGCGCTTCGTGGCTTGCTATGCGGCTCTGACTCGGACAACCGTCGGGAAGGTGAATCTGGGGCGAGTGAATCGAAGCCCGCGGTGTCGGGGTCGCCGACGGTGGACGGTCCAGTTCTGTCGCCGCCGCGGCCGGTGCTGGGTCTGGGAGACGTGAAGCAAATTGCTTCGCGGCGGTGGCCGGATGGAGATGGGCGGTGCTTGGTTTGAATTCTCCTGCGTGCTTGAGGAACAGGAAGCACGGGAACAGTTGTGTACACATCTTCAGTTGTACAGAGTCTCTCTTGCGTGCTTTGGTAGGCACGGGAACAGCTGTACATTCACGGTTGCCCAGGCGGCAACCAGCGTACTCCCCGGCTTGCACCCGTGCTAAACAAAACCAAGCTCTGATCTTCTCTCGTGCAGTGTGTATGGACCCGTCTATTTCTTTTGTACAGCTAGTAGTAGTACGTAGTATCATTGTGCAAATCGGTGTTTGACTTTTGTATGCAGTTTCACTTCACTCTTTCTTTGGGGGCACAATCTCATCACTCGTTCACTGGTCGGAGAAAAAAACAAAGGCAATGTGTACTACTCCTATATGGCAGCAGTACTCCAGAAATAAAATTATTTATCTCATCGGGAAGAAAAAGGTACTGGTACAAATGGTCAAAAGATGAACGCGGCTGAAACGAGGAAATAAATGCACTTTTTAAAAAGAAGTAAAACTGAAAAGTCTCAGACTTTATGGGCTCCCACGCGAGATGGAATGAAATGGGAACCCAACCCAGTGAGGCAGGAGAGGCCAGCTCAACCCAATACTGCGCGACTCAACGGATAGATACATGCCGACACGGGCCGCGCCACTTTTTTTCGGTTCTCCCCCATTCGATTCGACCGTTGGAATGGAGCGAAGGCACCGCACCACACGAGGAAAGTAGTAAAAGAAAAACTAAATCCGCAGCAACCGCACACACGCACTTGACGACCGTTGCGCCACTACACAATACAAACACCACAAAATCTCCTCGATCCAGCCAGTCATCAGCCCGCATTCTCTCTCGTCCACTGGTCAACAAAGCCAAAGGAGGAAAGAACGCCGTCAGAGAGAGCAGCGAGGAGTGCTTCTCCGTCGCCGACGCGCCCATGGGGTGCATCTCGTCCAAGCTCCTCCCGCCCGGGCCCGGAGGCCGCACCGGCGCCGCGCGCGCCACCGTGCGCGGCCGTGTGGACCACGTCGTCTCCCTCACCTCCACCACCTACGGCGTCCTCGACCTGCAGGCCAAGCACGGCGCCACCGCCACGGCTGGAGCCAAGGACCTGCCGTTGCCGCAGGAGCAGGAGAAGCCGATAAGCCGGGAGTGGAAGCGCGCGTCCGCCAGGCGCCCGCCGCCCCTCGTCGTCCCGGACGCCAAGAAGCCGGCTCCGGCGCCCAAGCCGGAGTCCGGCATGGAGGTGATCAACGCGTGGGAGATCATGGCCGGGCTGGAGGACGCCGATTCGCCTGCCAAGAAGCCGGCCAAGCCCGGCCGTTGGTCTCCCGCCAGGGTCCTCGCCATGGCCCTGTCGTCGCCCAAGAGGTCGTCGACGAAGCGGAGGAACACGCCGGGGAAGGAGAACAGCCCGCTGCAGCGTTGCTCCGGGAAGGAGAACAGCAAGCCCAGCGACGTCGCCGACGAGGACAGGGTCCTCCGCCCGTACAACTCCATCGACAACTCCAAGCTGTCCAGGGCGTCCAAGAGATTCTCCCCGGGAAGCGCCCGGGTCGCTCGGAAGCCCAACGCGGCCGAGACCGGAGGCATGTCGTCGTCGCGCCGGAGCCTGAGCCCGCTGTTCGACCCGGAGCTCCTCGCGTCCATCGAGCGGGAGCTGTCGGAGGAAGGCGCGCACATCAAGCGAGTGATTGGGTCCGAGAAGCCCAAGCAGCCGAAGGTGATTCCGGCGATCGTGGCGGAGGGCAAGTGCCCGCCCGGCGGCGCGGACGCGGTCGTGCTCTACACCACCACCTTGCGCGGCATCCGCAAGACGTTCGAGGACTGCAACGCGGTGCGCGCCGTGATCGAGGCCCACGACGTGAAGGTCATCGAGCGGGACGTGTCCATGGACTCGGGCTACCGGGAGGAGCTGCGGCTGCTGCTGGGCGGGCGGGAGCTGCGCGTGCCCGCCGTGTTCGTCCGGGGCAAGCACGTGGGCGGCGCGGCCGAGGTGACGAGGATGGAGGAGGAGGGGAAGCTCAAGGCGCTGCTCCAGGGGCTGCCGCGGGCGCGAGTCTGGTGCGCGGGGTGCGCCGGCGTGAGGTTCGTCATGTGCAGGGGCTGCAACGGCAGCCGCAAGGTGCGCGTGGACGGCGAGCGGAAGGAGACGGTCCAGTGCGGCGAGTGCAACGAGAACGGCCTAGTCCGGTGCCCCATCTGCTCGTGATGAGGTTGGATTGTTTGTTTGGTGTTACATTGGGTTGATTTGCTTGTCTACCCGTCGTATGGTGTTTGGGCCTCAGAGGCTCTGATTTTGCGATGTTCTTGTTGCGCTCTGCAACCTGCTAATTAAACACCTGTAATGCGTACCCGTTCATATTGATTCGTATCTAATTAAATTGCTTTTCATTCTTTCCTATTGAAGCTGCTTTCAGAAGGGTCACTGCTTATTACATTTTCGCAGTTTTTTTTTAAGAAAAGACATCCAAATAACGTCTTAGATCTGATCACTAAACGCACCGTTTGGATATATGCATCCAGAGGTAGGGCCCGTTTGGGAACACTCCGGCTCCCAACCCCGGGGAGCTGAAGTGGTGGATAAGAGCAGCACTCAGTTCATTTTTGCGGAGCAGCTATTCTGTCGCTCCTCATTTCCAGCGTTGAGCCGAGCAGAGTCAGAAGCAATCCGTTGCTGAACAGGCTGGTAGTATTATGAAGCTTCAATAAACTCAAGGAAGGAAGGAGTGGTTGTTGATGTTTAATGAGAAGAATGGCTCTTTATTTACTAGAGACATTAAAATTGTGCGCTAATCCAGCCCTCCAGATCATCATCATTTTTACGGTCGAGTCTGGACTTATGGTTGTCTCTGAGCATTGATCTTCGCTTAATCTCCCTAGTCCCGTGACAAAATCCTTGATTTGCTATTAATCCGACCTATTGGACCCTGCGTCTTTCGTATGTGGTTGATTCAACATCGAAGTGACGAAACCCAAATGCGACCTCTACTTATCCCTGTCCCCTTCTTCCACTCTTGCCCTAAGCCTAATCGCTACACCGACGAAGCGGGGTGAAGGGCAATGACGGTGAACAACCCCCCTAGCGACCTGGATCAGCGCCATGGAACCGAGCGCGTCTCCCTTTCCCAAGCTTGAACTCGAGCGACAAAGGACACCACGACTTGGCAACGCTACTAATAGAATCAGCGTTCTAGGCGAGCAACCATACAGATGGTCGTCGCCAAGGTTGAAAAGAGTGCTAGGCGTAAGCAAGGCAGTTGGCCTTCTCCTAGCGCCCTAGATGCAGCCTAGATGTAAATATAGTTTTGGCTATCGGAGTATCTTTGAAATACTATACGTGTATCGATATTGATTTAGAGCATATAAGTGGGTAAACTACTAGTTATTGTCATTGAAATCTCGCCCATTTGGCTTGTTAATATCACATTATTTATCGCTTAAATGGACAATTTATTGCTTGTCGTGCCTACAGTTTCGTTTATGCCTAGCAAGGCGTTTGATCATGCCTAACGCCTAAGCGTGCCTAAGCGCCTCCTAGGCGTCGCCTTTTCCAACAGAGGTCGTCACGGTTCCATCCTCTCTACACCTCAGTTGTTTCTTCCACCGGTAGAGTTCTTCCCTCTCTCCTATACAATATGCTTATAGTGGTGAGGGCCTTAGGGAGGTATGTTATCTTGATCCATTCGTCTCCCTAGCATAGTAATCCATCCAGACTTCTCACCTCTACGATGCGTTGGTGGGCGTCGTGGTAGCTCCCTCTTCTCTAGAGCATGCGGGAGAGACTCTAGCTCAAATAAAGGTCTCCTCTCCAATATTAGCGATGAATAGTATTGGTTGTCAGAGGTCTATTTTTCATTGAAGCGGCTCTGTGATACTTTATTCTATTGTTGCAGTTCAGGACATCATTGAGGCGTGTGTGTAGGTTTCTTTTCCACATATATGGCGATTGTTTGCTCTAATAGTCAAAAAGGAAAAACAAATTCGCATGTAGACTTGAAAGCAACACACCGATTCCAAACTAAAAGGATTTTGGGCCTCATGGACCAATTAGTTGTCAAAATCTAGATATTTGCCTCACTTCCTTGCATTTTCTCTAGATAAATGTTTTCCACAAAGGGTGGTTTCTTTGGATAAATCTGGAAAGATAAATATGGCCCTTCTGTCCTTCCATTCCTAAATATAGTGCACATAAGAAATTTTAAAAGTCAAACTTTGACTACATTTATAGAAGAAAATATCAACATTTATAATATTAAATAAATATCAATGGATGCATCATTAAACATATATTTATGTTATATTTATTTGGTATTATTTTTGTTGATACTTTCTCACTAAACTTGGTCAAACTACATTTTGGAATAGAGGGATATTGCATTTTCCGTAGAGAAGAAGACAGAACCCAACTAATTATGGTAGGATATGAATTGTCAATTCCAGATACGTCGGAAGTTCTGCCCTCATGTCTATTGTGAATTGCAGTGAACGAGTAACCCGAAGTCACTCACTAATTGATGGTACACCATTCAAACAACCACAAAGCAAGTATTGCGGCTATTACAAATAACTGAAAGTCCGCTGGCCAAGCGGCGCGGCATTCCAAGAGGTTGAGTTTTTTCTCTATACTAGATCATCGATGATGCGCGTTGCTGCGCCCGTACATTTTTAAATTAAAATGGTTGGCATTTATAAAAATAAATAGGGATGCAAAACATCTTTTAATAACATGCTATCCCCCGATAGAATGAGGAAAAAACTTGAGGATTAAATTGGTTCCTTTCATCAACAATGAAACATCAAGGTGATATAAACAGCATGATGTAATAATTGGTACAATTCAGGAGCAATGCAAGTCACCGTTGGCCAGAATTTTTGATAACATAAAAGGTGTCGTTGGACACAAATTTTATCCAGTACATGAATTTGTGCATAAAACTGGACAATATCGAACGCCTGAAATCTAATCTATAAGATAATTATCCTATAAGAAAATTATTCTATAACAATAGAATCTTTTTA